TGACATTGGCTTCTTTTAAATTTGTGTATGTGGCAAATCTGTGATCGAAAGGTTGATACATCAGTCTCTAATTATTGCACAAATATGAGTGCTAATTATTAAGCTAATCATTCTCCTCGACCATTCTAGTTTTTGAACACGGGAGTAAATGATACGTGGCATTAGATGTCATCATCGAAACCTTCACCACCAGCCTTGACCCATAATCGAGCAATAGTACGTGGCACCATGCTTGTTGTCGAGAAAACGTTAACCTTAACTACGAGCAATTAATTGTTGTCGAGAAAACGTTAATCTTAACCTTAACCTTATAGCATAGTTTTTAAATCCGGTCTGATCCAAGACCTGGGTTCCAGGTTTTGACCGGGTTGACCGGGTTAATTTTTATTTTTTTTAAAAAATTAAAACGACGTCGTTTTAGTAAAAAAAATAAAAATTAACGGATTGCAACCGAGTTTTTTACCGGGTTTTTCCGGGTCAACCCACCGGGTCGTCCGGGTCACACCGGGTCATGGCTTACCTTATTTTTTCATCAACCCGGCCCGGTTCCAGCCCCCAGGTCGGTCGGGTCTCGGGTTAACCCGGCGAGCTGGACCGAGTTTTAAAACTATGCCTTATAGTATCATTAATATAATAAAAATAAATTTAACAAAATAAATTTAATAACATTAAATAAAATCACTAATATTTATCTGGGTTACATGATGCTAAAATCTCTAATAATTCAACACATGGTCATTGGAAACTTAAGTTCAATCCTGGTGGTTAAAGATATTGTTTGAGATTGTGGTGTATAATGTTTTTTAAATTATTTTTTTTTTAAAAAAAAAATGTTTTTTAAATTATTTTTTTTTTAAAAAATATTAAAATATTTTTTTATTTAGGATATCAATATATTAAAACAAATAAATAATACTAAAAATATAAATTAAAACTTAAAAAAATTACAAAAATCAATCTAATCACGCTACCAAATAATCTCTAAATCAACTATCACCTGTTATTGCTCTTGCAAAAGGTTTTTTTTTTTTGAACTTCCTTTTAATTTTCATCTCGAGCTTTTCCATTTTTTTCATTCATCTCAAAAGTTTTTTTTTTTCCTTCTTATCCTGCGGGCATATGCATCCATGTGATGAAATTAAAATTTTGAATTAATAATATCTGACTAGGACAATGTTACGGGTACATGGATCCTTGCCACTGTTGATGTTTTTGGCAACTTGTTTGTCCAGTTGCCTTAGATGGGTGTTTGAGAAATAAAAGCCACGTGGCATAATTTTAATGGCAGCGGCATTTACAGAATCCAGCAGCGTTGTATAGTAACGAACGGCATTGTAGTACAATGAAAAAGAGTCTGCGGTGCTGAAAAAACGAAGAGGCATGAGGCAAGTAATAAAATATTAATCTTGTGCAGGATAAGCATTCAATCTGAAGACGAAGAGTTATAGCAGTTCACCTGTCAATTTGACAGAGAGGAGACCGGCCGGCTGAGGAGTGGCCACCCCATGTATTGCCCGTGAACCAGTGACTTGAACTCGATCACTTGTGTATGACTTCGTCCTCTGCATCGATAATTATGATCCACAACTGTCTCTCGGACATTAATTTAACCCTTTTTTTTAGTTGCAAGAAATTTTTAGATCAATTTTTGTTGTGATCACAATTTATATAAAAACTTCATTTTTTTAACGTTAAAAATATTTTTGAGTCTAAAAATATTCATACACTGGCTTCCATGTTTTTAATTCGAATGAGCTTAAAAAACAAACATATTAGCTAGAGTATTTAATTTAAATTTTAATTTGTTTTAATGTCAAAATATCTTGAACTTTATTTCAATAATTTAAATTTTTTATTTAAGATGATATTTTTTTATGTAATTTTTAAATCTGATTTAATTTATTAAGTAAACCTGGCGTTTCGTCAGCCTAAGACATGGCTAGAGCTAAGTTTGCTCCTGAACCTCCTAAAGAGATGTTTCATTTTAATAATTTTTTAATTAAAATAACATTATTTTTATATAAAAAATTTAAAATAATATTATTTTATTAAAAACCACACTGCACTTAAGTTCACCTCACTAATTTACGAGTTGATATACTTGCCTATCAACTCCACTCGGGTCTTAGGTTAGGTCATGAAATGATATAGATCTTATAATTATGAGTTATAATGATAAAGTTTAGTATTTCAAAATTGATTTTTTTTTTTGTGATAGTGAATTTATATAAATTTAAAATTAAAATGAAATTTTAATTAAAATGATATACTAAAGAGTAAAGCTATTTTTAAAGACTCGTCATTTTTAAAGACCCATTCAATGACTTAAACTTCCACCTCAATTCTTCTGTTGCATATACCAATTACTCCATCCTTAATCGTAAACTCAACCAAAATCTGAATCTGACGAAGACAAATGGCCTCCTCATCTTATACTTATTAGCATACAGGCCCAGCCCAAATTATGGTGAAGACAAGTCCAAGTCGACGACGTATTGTAGCCAATTATTGGGCCACGGACACAATTCGCTAAGCTCATGGCCTCACTCACACAAATATGAGATATCCCAAAGCCCAAAACTCTAACTGATTCACTGAGCCCAAGACCAAGAGGAAGAAAATTGATTGGATGGTCACGAGCGATGCGGTGAACCAGGAGCAGAATGGGGGGTGTCCCTTGCCGGCCTGTCCCCTGTGCCGCTCTGCCTATACTTAGGATAGGCGCCGACGGTTCAGCCATGAGAGACGTTAAAGCTTTTGGGTCCACACCTCACATGTCTATGTCGCTCGCATACTTTGTCATTTTCTTGTACCCCCACCACTGCTATCACTTCAAATGTTACGTCACCGATATTTTTCTCAGGTGGGGTACGGCTCAGCCCTGCAAGTTAGCCGGTGACCTCGCGTTGTACAGGAGCCTGATGAGCTCACGATTCGTTATTACGGTTAACATCCTTTATTTTTTATTTTTTAATTGTAGCAATGATTTGTTACCAGGAAATCATGTTTTGACCTTTAAAAATGTCACTCAGGGATTGGTTTTGTGATTTAAGAGGTATGATCCAACAAAAATTCTCACACAAGACTTTGTAGAATCGTTATAAATTAACAAAGAAGTACAAGGTTTCTTTTCTATTGGAAAGACACACACTTTTCTAATTATTTATAAATATGAGTTTTTATTTTATAATAATTGAAGTGAAAATTATAATAAATGTGCTCCACTAGTAAACTTCTTAATACTATTATATAGATATTTATAATATTAAAAATAGAATTCAATATTATTATAATAAAAATTAAATAGCAGTTATTAGATAACTTTTTATTTGTCTTCTCTTCTTTTTTTTTCACATTCCATATTAACTCTTTTTTTACCTGAATTTTAAACAATTTTCTTAACACTTCTGCCCGTATAGACACTTTATTTTATATTATTAATGGAGCAACAATCCAATTCAAGCTATCAAAATTCAATACTCTAAATATCTATTTTACATAATGAAATATTAAACTAAAATTTATATTTTTTGTTTAAGTCCAATTATATTTAATTTTGATTAATAAAAATTATGTTACTCAAAATTTATCTTATATTATGATATTTTACTCACTTACCGATAAATTTATAAATAAATATAAAGAAAAGATTGATTTTGAGTTTATGGGTATATATAATATAATTTTAAAACATTTTAATTATCAAAACCCAATAAATAAATAAAATAAATGAAATGAGATATAAATTCTGATATTTTTTTTTCAAAACAATATTTTTATATTTAAACTTTATTTAAGAGTCTAATTGTGATTGTTTTTTAAAATATTTTTTACTCATAAATATATTAAAATAATATTTTTTTTTATTTTTTAAAAATTATTTTTGATATCATCATATTAAGATATTTAAAAATATTAATTTAAAATAAAAAAATAAAAATATTATTTTTTTTAAAACATATTTTTTAAATATAAAAACAAACAAAACCGTAATAACACAGAAAGAGAGGGTTAAGTAAGAGGTTGAACTGGTAGATGAGGGGAGGAATAAGCGGCAACTGCCCATAAAAGAAGTTGTCCGGCAAATGCTGCTGTACTCACTGACTCGTCTGACCGAGAAATTGTAGCCTTACAAATACTAGAAGACTTGCTTGCTTCTATCAATTCATATACCTACTCCTCTAATTCAAGTGCCTACATAGAGTAGGGCCTACAACCCCGCTCCTAAATTTGGTCCCTCGTGTAGAGGTAAAAATTACAAATAAAAAAAATGTTCACAAATTGGGGTGATTGTTTGAATTCCAATTTTAGGGTTCGAAACTAAGTTCATATGTGGATAGGATAATGTTTGGCTGAAGGAAAAATGAGATGCTTGTTTCAAGTCCTACTTTGGGGTTAGTGACTAATGTGTGTTTCCGTGATGTGCTACATTATATTTACTTGTTTGAAAATATATTAAAATAATATATTTGTGATTTTTTAACTTTTTAGTATTAATATTAAAATTATTAAAAATATTTTAAAAAATCAGTTTTTTAAGACATAAAACATCTTGAAAAGCAGGTTGAACAATATTATCAAGCATATTTTTAAGTGTTTGTTATGTATCCTTTAAGTATTTATTATGTACTTGGTAGTAGGTGAATGTACTTTTATAAAAAAATATTAAAATATTATATATATATAAAATAAAACCTTAAAAAAATCATATAAAATAAAAGTGAATTTGATATTTTTTTAAAGTAAAAAAGCATTTTAAAACACAAATTAAAACACATAAACAAACATACTAAAATTGAACTAAAATATTGTTTAGGTGAAGGAATATAGTTAAATCATCCATCCTTTCAATAAGTGGATCGAAGAAAAAATTAATTTTAACATGTATAAATATTAAAATTAATTCCCAAAAACAGTGTTTAATTTGGGACGACTATTTCAAGGTGAGACATTTACTATGGTGGGCCTTGAATCCTGAATATTTAACAACCGACAGCCAAATACCATACTCGCAAATTTCAAGAAAAGAACCTCCTCAGAGTCATTACCCGTAAGAGCACCAACCTGTTAGGCTGTTAGTTTTCGTGGGGTTTCTAGTCATGGCCAGAAAATAGAGCCGAGTCATCGTGAGAAAGAAGCACCAAGAAATTTGTTATTAAAACTGGGAAGGAAGCTTGTTCATTCATCCATACCTCACACTGGCCTTTCTCTTGTGACTAGCTAGTAGTGTTTATTGTTCCCGTTGCCTTCAAAAGCACTCTCAAATCTATGCAAAATCTCCCCCTTCAGAATCTCTTCCTCCATTGCCACCTCTCTTGCCCTTTGTCTCTCTAAATCTTGAAGAAATCAAAGAAAGAAAAAACTAGAAGAGACAGAGAGAGGACCCCTTTTATATTAAAGAAAAAGATCCATACATGTTCACTGGTGTCTGATGAAGGCAAAGACTCACATTCTTCCATTCTTTGCCACTCTCACTCTCATTTGCCTGACCACTGCCCAACACCACTCTTTTTCTAGCAATGCTGGCCCTAGAGACTCACAAACAATTCATATCAAGCAAAGCCAAAGACACCTTTTACATTACAGAGAGGAACTTGATATAGAAGATGAGTATCTGATGTTACCAGCTTGCCTCAAATTCGACAACCCTAGACTCAGAAGTGCCTACATTGCACTCCAAGCATGGAAACTAGCCATCATCTCGGACCCATTGAACCTCACATCCAACTGGGTGGGATCCGACGTTTGCAGCTACACTGGTGTCTTCTGTGCCACATCTCTCGACAATTCGTCGATTCAAACCGTTGCTGGGATTGATCTAAATCATGGCGACATGGCAGGGCACTTGGTTGAAGAGCTCGGACTCCTGACGGACATTGCCTTGTTTCACGTTAACTCCAACAGATTCTGTGGGAAAGTACCAAGATCTTTCAAGAAACTAAAACTACTCTACGAGCTGGATCTAAGCAACAATCGTTTTGCGGGCAGGTTTCCTTACGTTGTTCTTGATCTTCCAAAGCTCAAGTATCTTGATCTTCGATTTAACGAGTTTGAAGGCGATTTGCCAAAAGAGCTGTTTGACAAGGATCTCGACGCAATATTCATGAACCACAACAGGTTTGCTCTTGAATTACCTGATAATTTTGGCAACTCACCGGTTTCTGTTATTGTTCTTGCAAATAATAAATTCCACGGGTGTTTTCCGACAAGTTTGGTTAACATGTCTAAGACCCTAAATGAAGTGATTCTCATGAACAATGGCTTGCGCTCGTGTTTACCTAGGGAGATAGGATTGCTTAAGAAGGTGACAGTTTTTGATGCGAGTAATAACAAACTCTTCGGTTCTTTGCCGGACAACATCGGAGAAATGGAGAGTCTAGAACTGCTAAATGTGGCACATAATATGCTGTCAGGAAATATCCCTGGAAGCGTGTGCTTGCTTCCACATCTGAAGAACTTTAGTTATGCTTATAACTTCTTCACTGGTGAACCACCAGCGTGTTTGGATTTGGAAAATTTTGATGATGGCAGGAATTGTTTGAGGAACAGGCCCAAACAGAGATCAACATTGCAATGTAAAGTGTTCTTGTCTAGGCCCGTAAAGTGCGAGGCTTTTAAATGTCACAAGTTCGATCCTTCTCCACCGCCCCCACCTGTTACTTCACCCCCTTATCAATCACCCCCTCCGCCTCCACCACCTCCGCCATGCCATGAGCAACCGCCTCCACCTCCATCACCTCCACCATGCCATGAACAACCGCCTCCACCATCACCTCCAGTTCAATACTTGTTGCCTCCACCTCCTCCAGTTTATAATTCACCGCCTCCACCAGCTCCAGTGTATAATGGTCCATTGCCACCTATTAGTGGCATACCTTACGCATCTCCGCCACCTCCACCACTCTACTAAATGGATGATTCTTTTTAGAGATTTCTCCTTTCACCAGCCCTGCAAGATCACAATTACTTGCCTTGTATTCTTGGCAACAAGGGGAATAGACCGGAGTCACCGGACCCATTTCATAGCAATCATCCAAGAATTGTTTCACATAATTGCATGTAGCAGAATTCAAGTTTAAAAGACATTTGGAGATAGAAAAGAACAGAAGGAAAAGAAGTGTGCAAGAAGATTAAGTTTCCCTATATGTTTATAATTGAATTGCCATGCGTGTTTTTTGAGTAGTTAATAAGATGAATGATGTAGAGAGAAACAGTAGGTTTGCAGCGATTGTAATTACATATATGAGATTCATCTTAGCTATTTATATGTGCTTTCCAATGGAAAGATCTGATGTCTACTTCAGTGTCATTGTTTATTCTGTTCTTATATTTCTAGCTTCTGGTCACCTACGTTTTCAGTACACAGCAGCCTCATCTCCCTGGGGTTTCTGCTTCCCTCCTCTTCTGAACTCGTTCATGATTCACCATATGGTGAAGGGAACAAGAAAAATCTAGCCAGTCGCCACCTTATAGTTTCAGGTTCAGTTCCAGTCCAATAATACATACAAATATCTTTTCATGCTAATTTGGCTAATCAAATGAGTGCAAAAGATTTCAGCGTCATCTCCCTGGGGTTACTGTTGCCTATTGTTTTTGGTGGTTTGTGGCTTAAAACGCTTAAAGGTGTGGACATCATGCCAATAACTCATCGAGCTACCCATGATAAGATCCTTTCATCTAATTATCACAAGATATACATGTGAAACCCTTTTTCATATGAAAATCTGGAAAGATGATAAAGGTCTCTATCGTCTGTGGCCAACACATTCATCACGGGAACTTTAAAAACTCACTCTCTAATCTGCCTACTGGTCTTCCATGCTTACTATGTTCTAGCAAGACAATTAATGAAACACCTGCCCACGTAATATAACACAAGAAGCAATGGCCCTAATCCAATAACTGTCACGCGTTGCTACTGTTCGCATTCACAACTCTTGATCTAAAGAGGGGCCTTTGACGGTTGAGCAAGCTTTAGCCAACATTTTAGACCAGCTTAAATTTCCATGACATCAACATGAAGCAGTTTTTCAAGTAATGACATGGTTGCCAGACAATGTAACAGTTATGCTACAACGATAATTTGTGCAGTGAAATGGAGAAACTAAATAGTTAGTCCTAGAAATAACCTGACTTACTTTACAGCCACAGCATCTTAGACCACCTTTAAATCTCCATGGCACCAACATAAAGCAGTTTTTCAAATAATGACACGGTTGCCAGATAAGATAACAGTTCTGCTCCAATGATAATTTGTGCAGTGAAATAGAGAAACTACAAAGGAAGTCCTTGCAAAAACCTGACTTGCATTCTGTCGTTACTTTTTTGCAAGTACCTTGTTGTTTCAAGGAATCTGGAAATTACAAGGATCAATTTGAAGAGAGAATAAAGTGTACACTAGATTTGTAGTCCATGTGGCCTTCCTACAAAGCAACATGTCACGAGAAAATATACAGTTGAACTAACAGTTAATTAAAGATATCACCTAAGATTAGACTTCTTATCCACATCAGCACATGATCCTGGGGGTAACACCTCCTGGAGAAACAAAATTATTTCTTTTTATATCTTGAAGCAGGAAAGACTGAAAGAATAAATGATCCATACTAAGAAATATTGAAATAAGATCCTTATGGCTTGTAACTTCATCTATGTCCATCTTATTACACTTGAAGAACCATTTAATATTTTAATGCATTACACCAGCAGAAAATCTTGTTCCCTAGTTGCCCAGTCATGAAAACAATACCATGACTCTTACCCATTTTTTTGGCAAGTAGAATGTGCTCTCCCAAAATTAATCCCATTAACAAAAAATTAAAGGACTAAAGAAGGAGGGTGTTTTACCATACCCCTCCTCACATTACACTATTAACTGAAATAATATTTTTAAAATCTTCTTTTTAATATATATATATTTTTATTTTAATTCCATTCTTCAACATTAATTTATTAGGCATTGGGCTTCGTACTTTTTTTAATTTACTTTTATGAGGTTATCTTGAACATATGACTTGAACCACGGGTTTAACAGGTTAATTTGATTGACTCAAATATTTTTTTTCTTTTTCTAATTGACTTTTCTTTCTTCTCGATTTCATTCTTCAATATTGAGTTGATTGAGAATTAAACTTCGTGATCAAATTTAGTCTTTTTTCTATGAGGTTATCTCCATTTCATAACTTAGGTTAATCTTGGTTGACTCGAATTGTTTTTTGTATTTTTTTAATTGATTTTTTTTTCAATTGGATTGATTGAGAATTGAACTTCATAATTTGTTTTAATTTGTTTTGTATTGAGTTATCTCAATCTCATTGCCCAGGTCACAGGTTTTACAGGATAACCCAAGTTGACTTAAAATATTTTTTTGAATTGATTTTTTTTTCAATTTCATCCTTTAACATTGAGTTTATTGAAAATTAAGCTTTGTAATTTGTTTTAGTTTTCTTTCTATAAGGTTATCATGATTTCATGACTCGGTATGCAAATTGACAAGTTAACCCAAGCTGACCCAAATCAATCAAATATATTGTTATCTTATTGTTTATTAAAAAATCTCATCTTAAATATTTATTTTAGATCAAACTACGTTTTTATCTATCATCGGGTTGCTTTTAGACCCATCAAAACGATCAAGTCATATTGAATCAATTCTTACATTGTTTATTTTTTTTTTCTACTAGAAAAAATCATTAGTAATGCTTAGAATATTTTTTATATTAAAAAAATTTGATTGGACCCACAACGTAGTTCAAGCCAAATGATACAATACCAACTAAAAATCTAGCACCTTCTCACTTTAAGAAAGCCCTTAGATTTGTTTTCAAGATTAAGAGGGTGATTGGGATTGTGGTTTTTGACTTTTTTTTAGCTTATTTTTTGAATTGTTTTAATGTGCTGATATTAAAAATAATTTCTTTTAAAAAACTTTATTTTAATGTATTTTCAAGCGAAAAACATTTTGAAAAACAACTTCTATAAAGATTATAATTTTTTTGAAACATCTTTGGTAACGGCATCCACGTTAAAAACTTTTGTCCATATTTGTCTCTTAAGGTTCAGCATTTCCTGTTCATTTTTTATGTATTGAAATGAAAAGGGGGAGAAACACCCAATTTATTAATTATTGAAGAATTTGTATCTCCCTTGATTTTCCTTCTTCTAGTACCTATCGATTATACAGAATAAAAAAGAAAAATTACTCTACAATCACACACACACATATAACTTACTAGCTAAAGATGACTCCACTTTATTTTGCTTGGCCACTTCAATGGAGATGAACAAAGACCGATGTTTTCTGGCAAGATTTGCTTATATCAAACCATGAAACAGGGCGTCAACAGAGGCTATCTGTGAGACAAATGCAGTTAGAAACGACGAGGGACAAAAAAATGTTACCAAGACCGAAAGCTAAGACATCATGCATCATATGAATATGCCTGTAGAGCTATTACCTTCTGCCATCTCACAGGTAAATATCCAACACTAAAACCAGGCAACCATGGATCCCACATAATACATTCCCTGAATCAGAGAGACCAAAAATGTTAGCTTGATGGGAAAACAAACAAATTCATAAACAAAGAATTATTCAGGGGCCAAACTCATCAAGACTGAACAATGAACAGGTTCAACAGCTGAACTCAACAAAATCTGAATTAACATAACTATTTCTCTTTTCCTATTGTTTTCGGTTTCTTTTTTTCTTCCCTGGCTATCAAATCAATATACTAAGAATGTTCGATGATTAGTATTTAAGGAAATAAAATGTACCTTCACAGGCAAAAACCCTTTGTTTCATGAATGCAAGTTTTGAACTCGCCAAAGCAAGCTGGTGCAAGTTCTGACTTCTGAAGTTAGCTTGCCAGCAGATCAAAGGATATAACTTCATGTTCTCATTCAAAACCTTGGCCAAATGGAAAAGCCTTCAAACTGGAAAAAAAAAAAAAAAAAAGTGCTCTATCACCTTTCTAGTAGCTCAATCAATGAAGGTGTGGGAAAAGCAGAAGACTATCTCCTACTTGAGTGTTCATTTCAGGTGGTGATGGCTGGAGTAACCCATTATTAGACAAGTCTTCCAAACCTTTGATATCCTGTTGCAAGCGGCTAACACGCAAAATCGCATGCTCAAGAACCAGAGGATCATCGGGGGGGTTCTGCAGAAGGGTAAGCAAGGCCTGGCGATAAACTTGAGATGCCAATAATGGCCTTGCAACCTGTCGATTTTTACATAAAATTGCTACCTTGATGACATGCTTACAGAGATTTCCCTGTCTTGACCAGGGGCAGTCACAGAGGGCGAACTCAGAACCAGGGTTCCAAATTGTATATGCCAGACTTCTATCGGTCTGGGAGATGACTTTCGCAAGCTGTAGATTTTGTTCATCCAATATCACATCGACATCAGGGATGTGCAGGGCCTGATACCAAGCATTAGTTGAGAAAGACTTGTCCCTTGCATAAGTGAAATACCCAGTCTCTGCACTGTATTGATCTAACCAATATAAGGAGTGGAATTCAGTTGTCAAAGTGTGGATCAACCAGTCAATTCTTGTATAGGAATTAGCATATTGCTGATCGAAAAGCTTGGATTTCAACCTTAAGTGGTAGGATTCAATTGCAGCCAGGGGCTCTGTACTGGCTACAGGGAGAGACCTGATGCTATTAATCCACAACTCTGTAACACAAGAAGGCAGGTTAAAACAAGCATCTACTATTAAAAGTTACAGCTATGAATTGCTTTGAATGAATAATACAGGCTTTTAATTTCATCTTCAGTAGCTATATGGAGGAGCTGAATGACACTGAACATGACGCTGTTATAGAATGAATCAATGCAGAAGTTATCACCTCTCCATTATTTGCATATTTTAATAGCTGATGTTTTACATCAAGGTCATTGTATACTAGCTGTTTGCTCATATAATATTATAAATGTTATTTCTAAATCTTCCACTTTTTTCTTCTGTTATATCCCCACTTATACATAATGAAAAATTTAGTCAAACTAGATATCATTTGTGAACTAAGTTAGAATTTATTAATAACTACATCATAAGATGTCATATGAATAATGGGTTACATTTGGAAGACTTGCATAAGAACAATGCTCTGTGTTGTTCTTCAATATGCAGCTGTTATTTCAATCATGGTTAAAAATCTTTCTTTACAATATTCAATATTCCTTTTTTCTACATGTAACAGCCTACCATTTTTTAGCACCAAATGAATAAATAAAGAAAATCCCTATTTCATTACAGAAATTATTATGAGATCAAAGTTGGGAATAAATAATATCCTATTTCAACAATGCATGTTTATATTTGAAATTAGATGGTTGAAATATAATAAGGCAAAAAAATATTACATTATAAAGATTCCTCCAAGAAACAAGGAGAAGGCTTTTATTCTCAGACAAGTAGAATAATGCATAAAAGAAATATATACCTATATATGGCAACCATCTCCTCTTGAAATAATCCATAAAGATACACTGGTCAACATATACTTGCATGAACTCTTCAACTGCATTATCAGCATTTGGCCCACTTCTTGTAGAATACAAAATCCAACCCAAGTGCTTAAACATCTCTCGCTGAACATCAATGTTGCAGCATTTCTTTAAAAGACTTCTCATCCAAGCACGGCGGACATGCCAGGCACATAATAGCAACCGGCATTGGAAGGCCTCTCTGCAATTAAAAACCACGAAGGAATTTAGATTCCCCATTGAAAGCTAGGGTCAAGTAGAAGAAATTGGCAGTCCCTGCCAAAAAAAATTACCTTATGAAAGAAATATCAAAAGAAGGATCATCCACTAAAAAGGCATTAGGCCTCCATCTCGGGTCCTTGCTTCGGATTCTTTCAGCCAAAGAGCCAATCCATTTGTGGATATCTTGAGTAACAAATGAGGAGGTAACGATCCAAGCAACCGGAATTGCATTTTGAGAAGAGTCAAAAACTAGTAAAGTACATAGGGGATACTGCAATGGAGAAAATTACCATGTGAATTGCTATTGAATTAATATCTATAACACCTTTTCATGTTCCACAGTATAGCAATTCAATTCTTCCTCAACTTTTAGCCCAAATAATTTATAATCATGAAGTTTGGTCCATCTAATCCACACTATATTGATGAATTTGAAGGTCACAAGTATAAAATAAAGGCCCTTGAACAATTGTGTTCCTTGAATTGTGGTCTTGGAAGGAAGAATTTGGAGACTTAGAGCTTGAGGGTTTTTACATAAACTCGCTGCTCTCAAGACTGGATTTTGGTTGCAAGCCCAAGCGTAGAATGACTCAAATTTTTGCAATCATAAGATATTTGATACTAAAATCTGTCAACCACCAATATTTACGAAGAAAGTTTCTGAATCCTGAAATTTTTGCATGCCAGTGGCTTCACACATGACCTGAAGAATCAAAGAGTTCTTAAATGAACAAATTACCTTAAGTTTCTTCAAGCCAAATGTAGAATGAGAAGCTATCGAACCACTATGTCCATAACGGATCATCTGCTGCAGCTGCCAATCTGTCTGTATCCCCAGAATAAAAGGTTCTGTGCTTGACATATCTTGGAAGAAAAAAACATGCTTCTGGTGGCGCTGCACCCACATCTTTACACTGGATTCATCATCTGCATGCAATTTGTAAGATGAATTACGAACATTCCTCTCCATGTTGCGAACATCATTCCGAGTGAGCAAATCATCTCGGTTGAGGGGGCCACCATGCCCCTGCACCACCTCTGCATGATGCTGGATTATATTGTCCAAAGATATTCCAATATATAGCAAAGACATCACTTTCTGGCGCAATTCTTCTGAAATCCTTGGAGCATACATAGCTCTTGTCCCCACAGCATCCACATCAAGTATCCCATGACATGGGGCCCCTGTTTTATCTACATGTTTTCTCTGATTATATATGATAAGAGCAAGGAAGGGGCGAGTGTATAGGCGTTTTACAGTGAAATGGCAAAGGCAACCTCTCATCATGTGACGCCTCCCGGGTCTGCTTCCCTTCCCAGTCGCAGGTTTGGTATGAGAACCATCCCCCATAGTGGACTCACTATCTCGATAATCTTCAGGACCATATGAACACCAATATCTGAAAGATAACTTTCATAATGCATTACTTGGATTAAACTACAAGGGATCTTCAAGACATGCATCAAGTCCCGGTGACATAATTAACTTTTATCATTTAAAATATTCTCTTTGAATGTTTCTCCATTTAGTGGTAAATAAACATTCATTTTGCAAAACATTCACCTTTAAAATAGACAAAAAAAGCTGTCCTTTAAGGAGCTCTTGGCAGAGAGCACATTTCAGAGAACAAAAACCAAGAACAATCATTTACACACTGGCGTTCATAATTCATTCGTCATAAAACCCAAAAAAGAAGAAGGTGCCTTGTATAGCACTGCATGAATTTATGAACATACAGTGTATATTCAAGATAGCCATCGACCCTTGGTTTGCTGATGCTCCCTTCAGATCTCTTCCTTCTAGACTCAATTCGAAAGCTAGCAGGACATTCTGCATTTGAAGATTCTCCTTTTACAAAATCATCTACTCTAGCAAAAGGGATTAGGGCAATATCATCGCCACCTTGTCGACCACCTTCTACTTTCACCCACTTTATATGAGCAGCAGAAAACTCTGCACAAGGAGGATCTTGTACTGGAAGACTAAGAATGTCCTCCATTCTTGGCATCTGTCAATTTAAGACCCCCAAAAAAAGTAAAAAAAAAACACATTACGTTGCAGTAAATCCAATTCAAGGATCAATACACACTGTACAACCCTTTTCTTTCACATTCTCATAAACACTTTGCAATGAAAAATATTTATTTTTCTTCTTTTTTCTATAAAATAAGTTATTTCATTGATCAAAGGCAACAAGAAGGGCACAACCCCACTACAAAAGCAAGAATCATTATCAGATTCCATAAGCAGTCTAATGAAGGATTAAGATTACACGTGCATGGAGTTAAGTACACTATTTTCATTGAATAAACAAGATACAAATCAACAAATGAGAATTAGAGTGAAAACAAACACAGAAAAAACAAAGGTGTAGTCAAAATCACCTTCGGTTCATGGCCCTTCATGCTCTTTTTAAAGCTTGAGATGAAACTAAGCTTTAGCTCACTGTTAATCTATTATGTCTCTGCAAATGGATAAAGTCCATTGCTTTAAGATAAAAGAAGCACTAAAAAGAGGCACTTGAAAGACCCAGAAAGCAGAATTGGAAGAGGAAGTGAGATAGTAAAGCAAATTACCTCTCAAAGCCTTGGTTTTCCTTACAATTCCAGGAGCTCCCCCTCCTCTGAATCTCTCTCTCTCTATTAGTGTTTGTACTCTGTACAGGTGAAAGCTTTTGAAATGATTGAACAAGATGTCAGCAAACGACATGATGTTCACTCGGATGCATGGCATGTTCATGTAGCCATCAAAAAAAAAAAAAGGAAGACGACGAAAGACGAGTCGTCTATACGTCAGGCTCGCGACGACTTCAAATACTTGTTTTGTTTTGTTTTATCTCGGCAACAATCTCATCTATTTAGATTATTTTAGATTTGGTTCGTGCTTATTTTTTAAAATATTTTTATATTAAAATATATTAAAATGATATATTTTTATTTTTTAAAATTATTTTATTAAAATGATTTAAAATATAAAAACATTAATTTTTAATAAAAAATTTAAATTTTTAAAAAATATGATTTTCATTGTATTCCTAAATATATTCCAATCAAAACTTTGTGATAAAAGTATCATGGTGTGAGGTAAATAAAAACATATATTATTGTTTTATATTATAAAAATATGATAAGTTATTAGTTTTCATCTATCAATAACATGATTTATAAATTAATTATAAATTTGATGAATTAATTTATATTAGTTCAAAATTTTATTATTTCAATTTTTTTTTAAAATAAATTTTAATTGAAAGATAGATTAATTCATTGAATTAATGAGGCCAGTGTCCATTTAATTCAAAGAATGTTTTAAAATTTTGCAGCTATTATTTTTTAAAGTTTTTTAATTAAAAATATATTAAAACAATATATATTTTTATTTTTTAAAAATTAATTTTTACATCAATATATTAAAATATCTAAAAAATAATAATAAATTTTTAAAAACTTAGAAAATACAGTCGTGTTTCTAAACAAAACATTGAATTGAAACATGAGCATATGGCAGCGACATACCTTTTCTGTTTGTTGATGGTATTTTTTTTCCTCCGTGCTTACGCTTTGCACTTGTTTGGAAAAAAAGACTGTAAAGGGACAAATTACAAAAACTCTAAATGCAGCGGTATAAATACCGTACACATGTGCACTAATTATCCTGGACTTATCATTCAAAATTTTTATTTTGATCATTAAATTTTTATTTTCTGCAATTGATTTTTTTGGACATAATTAAAAAACAATTGAATCAAATTTGTTAATTAAGAAGATAATTGAAAGATAAAAAATAAAAATAAATTTAAAAAAAAACATCATAATGGGTGATACTTTCAAAATTATTATAAAAAATTTACTTTAATTCTCAAACTTTACAAGTCATACATGTTTAATCCTTCATTGATTTTTTAATTTTATTTTCTAATTCTTAATTTAAGAAAAAAAGAGAAAATATCAATTTTGATAATAAAAAATAAAAATCAATGTTGACACTGATTTCAACTATTAAAACAATTATTTTAGTATCAAAATATTCTATTTAATGAAAGGAGTTCAATTTATATGTTTTTTCATTTTAAAATTATCTTAAAAACTATATCTACAGTTTTTTAGGTTGATTTTAGATTTTTGTATGTGTTTTTTGTTTTTTTTTAAGGATATTTATAGGTTTTTAATATATTTAGGTTATTTTCTAGATATTTTAAATAAAATTTAGATTAAAAGAATTTGAGATGAAAAAGCATAGACTTTATTTTTTCAACTTCCATGATGATTGGAATTTAAAAAATACTAGACAATACGGTGTCTTGAATTCTTCCGCCTCGGTTGATTTTTTTTTGAAATGTCCTTTCTAAATTGGTTTTTAATTGCCTGACTTCTTTTTATTTTTTAATTTTGTTTATTTGAAAAAATATTATATTATTTTTAAATATTATTTTAAATAACCTTTTAATTTATATTGAAATTAATGCTCATTTCCTTTGATTTTTTAGTTTTTATATTTAGCTCTTTTAAAATAGTAATTTTTAAAAAATTATTTTTATATGTATTTAATTTTTGAAGCAATTATTCTAATTCATTTATATTTTTTATGTTTTATATAATTAAAATTTATTTTTAAAGATGAAAAATATTTATTCTTAAATAATATTTCTCATAAGTGAAACTTTGTGATATATTTTTTTTTCTATAATTTTATATGTATATTTTTTCTATTATTATTTGGTTAAAAAAATAATTTTAATAAACAAATGTATCGAATATAATTAGGTAAATTAATATATTATGATATTAAATATTTTGATTTATATATGTATTTTAACTTTTATACATATATATTTAATTATTATTAATGATTTTTTTTATTTAATGATATAAATAATTATCAATTTATTTAATCGATGTATATATAATTTTTTTAATTTATATATAATATTATTTATATAAAAAACATATAATAAATACCTATATATTTAATTTTTTGATTGAAAAAAAAAATCAGCCCGAATCAAATATCTTATATAGTGGCTTTAATGCCATTGATGACATATTATCATTGGCTAATGAAAGTGAAAACTTTCTCTAGTCACCATCTCGAAAAAGACCCATTGGTAATCATTATCCTGTATCCTAAGGATTGAAACTACTAGTCTTGCTATAGTTTATTAAAATAAGTAATAATTGAAATTATATTCTTATATAATTCCAGGATATTTTCAGTATAACAATTATAATCATATCAATTTGGATAGAAAAACTTAAAAAAATTGACTATTTTATAAGAATATAATAAATATATTTAGAAATATAAAAGCATATCAAAGACTTAACCAATTATATAAAAATAAATTGAATCATTTATTCAAAAAATAATTAAAAAATTTATTTGTTTATGCACATTTTTGTTTGCCATCAATGCTGCTAAGATAACTGAATATGATTATTTAACTCCTCTCCTTGAAAATTTCATCCTGAACTATAATATTATCCGTAGTATAGTTGAATCAAATTCTTTTAGATGTAAAAAAAACAAAAATCAATTATTGTTAATATGTTTTTAATAATAAAGATTTAAATTATATAAAAATTTATTTAATATGATTTGGTTGACTTTATAAGTTTAAAGATAACCCAAATAATAAATAAAAATATAATTGAATTTAAAAAATTCAAGATAACAAATTCACCTGATTGTTTTTATATTTTAAAAGTAGTTTTTAAATAATTTAAATTTTTTATTTTTTATTTACTTTAAATTAATATTATTTTTTGTTTTTTAAATTATTTTGATGAGATGATATTAAAAATAATTTTTTAAAAATTTAAAAAATTATTGTGATGTATTTTTAAATAAAAATTACTTTATAAAATAACTGCAATCACATTTCCAGGTGAATCAACTCATTAACATATCAAATCTATTTCTTAGTTCATAATTTTATGATACATCTATAAAAAAATAAATAAAAAATTATTAAATATAATTATTAATTAACTTGATATTAAAAACTAAAATTAAAAAATTATTTAAAAAATAAACTAAATTAATCTAAATTAACTTATAAAATATAAATTATAAGGCTTGAATAACACTATAAAATAAAAAATAAATTTATATAAATTATAAAACTCAATAATTAGGTATCAATGCACTAGCTAGCATCATTACAGGTAGGCAGGGGCAAGTGTGCCAGTAACAATAACTAAAAGAGGGTGTATTGTGGAAATGACATCATTGCATCCTCTCATATTTTCTCATTCAATGACATCATTGCATCCTCTCATATTTTCTTATTCAAGTGGTTTTTTAATATATATATAATGTTGGTAACTTTGAAAGGTATTTTGGATTTGTTTCCGGTAATGTTCAATATCAAAGAAGAGAGCGAACCATTGAAGGTGGGAGGGAGGATCATCTGACTCGTAAAGATATGTCAAATCTGCATAATTTTAGATTATAAGCTACTGCCTGCTGCGCATTACAATTTGATATCAATATATTAAAACTGGAGGATGGAGAAGAGAATATCGTCACCCTTTTCAATGGAGGCACTGAACTTAATGAAAGATTCTAACCAGTTGCCTGCTCCAAGAGGTTCTTCAGTTCAGGCACGAACAAGAGCGTTTCAAATTAGGGACGATAGTACAGTATGAAAACTGCAGTCTGAAACACTGAATTGCAAGCATCTATACAGCAGGACATGGCTGCTCTTTTCGCCAGTTTCTCAAATGAAGAAGCACATGCGCAATCATTCCACAAACAAAGCCAAGTGATGCGCTTGAACCCACCAGTGAAACCGCAGCGCATATAAGCATCACAAAGGATTCCTCCTTTGTGTTCATGTCCCTTGAAGCCAAAGCCAACTCAATTCCTGCAAATAACAGCAACACCCCCAAAACCCCAACTGGAAATTGGTTCAAAACCATCACTAAAGAACTACCCAAAACCAAACCCAGTAGCATTTTTGCTGCCCCGAGAAGTGCCACACACCCTCCACTCCTGCCGCCAAACTTGTACTGCCCAGCCAGTCCACCTGCACCATGGCAGCATGGCATGGCGCCGAACCAACACCCCACTATGTTCATCAGTCCTACAGATACCGAAACGGAGGAGGCCGAGAAATCCTTTTGCGGAAACAGATCGGATGACAACTTGCACACAGCAATAACAGAATTTAGAACTGATAGAGGGAGCTGGGGGATTGTACCCTTGATAAACCCTTCTTTCCAAGCATGCTTAGAAATCTTCACAACTTCAATTGAAGATGGTCCAAACTTAAAACCCTTCACCACTCCAGGCCTTCTTATAAATGCCAAAATCACACCCAACAAGAAAACCATAAAAGCAGAAGGAAGTGAGGCTACAATCTGCCTCGGTCCCCTCCTCTTAGGCCTTTCTCTACCATCCAAATTAATGCCATCGCCATCTGTTTCCCTACCCTCCTCACCAGCACCATTAACAACAATAACAAAACACGCACAAACAATAGCCAGAACCAAACCATCTACACCTAACCAATGCCTATCACCACCAGACTTTGACTTGGAAAAATCTTGTACTTTCCTGATATACTTGACCGCAGTCATGGCAAAAGATAACCCTTGTGAAAGCTGAATTCCTCTAACAACGGGTAGTGGGATTAGCTTATAAACAAGCTGCATCAAACCCGTGACACCTAAAAGTAACAAAATCCCACCAGTACATATTCCTGCTGCCATGATTTCGGGCACACCAA